TGAGGGGATTTGATAGGTTAGAAAGGGAAAAACTGTTTCCACTGGTGGGTGTGTCGGTGACTCGAGGTCACAGATTCATAGTAGTATCTAAAAGAAGCAGAGGGGAGGTGAGAAGAATTTTTTTCACGCAGCGAGTTGTTCGAATCTGGAATGCATTGCCTGAAAGGGCGGTGGAGGCCAATTCGATAACCAGATAACCACTTTTAAAAATGCAGTGGACGGGTATTTGAGGAGGACGGGTTTGCAGGGTTATGGGGAAAGGGCTGGGGAGTGGGATTGACATGATATTGCTCTTCTCAAAGAGCCGGCACAAACTCGATGGGCCGAATGGCCTCATTTTGTGCTGTACGATTCTATGATTCCTGGCAGGGTAAAATATTGGGCAAGTTTCCTTAGTCCACACGCCTCTGTTTATCTAGCAGTAAGTAGTAATCCAGTTGTTAGTTGATTGGCAGATCACTTATCCGGGGGTAATAATTCCTTCAAAAAATAATATTAAATTGGTCGCTCCAATCCATGATTGTTTGTGGGACACTGATGTATGCAATTGGCTGCCGCTTTTTGCCCACAAAATATACAGTCAATTCACTTTACAGTATATTCTGTGAAGCACTTTGAGACGTCTTGAAGACATGATAAGGCGCCTATATCAAATACAAGGGTTATTATTATTAACCTTGGCTATTGCAGGTCTTGGAATCATCCATTGCCTTGCATTTGCCTCGATTTAAAATCATTCAATTTAATTACTCAACGATTATCCTAAATTGTATTTCTCCTCATACGATTCATTTGACCACGTAGCTTGGCATCTCCAATAAGTATATTTTATCATAATTTGTACTCTCCCAAGGCATTTAAGAAGTATTACAAACAGGACAAGACTTGGAACAGGTCCTTGTGGAACTGATACTTGTTCTCCAGACTGAAATGTTTTTGGATTCCCTTTCCACCTGCTGCTTTCTACTGCACAGCCAGTTTGGGAAACTGATTTATTTGGTATTAATTCTAGGATTTCCCTTTTCTTTTAAATACCTTATGTGTAGAACCTTATCTTTGGTCTTCCGAAAATCCACCAGCAGCTTCATTTTCAAAGAGTTGCAGTAAATTCAGACAGGAGCCAAATCTATTGTCACTAAGTCACACGTGTCTGCTACACTTCGGATGTAAAGCCAACCAATCAGTTTCCAGCTTCGTATCTTTCAGACTAATGATAATACTGTACTTTCTTTTTTTAAGCGGTCTCTTGGCCCGCTTGAATTAATGGCAAATATACCTGTTGACTTGGGGGAGAGGAGAGAAGGTGAGGGAGTGGAGTGACTATTTTTTTCTGGTGCCTCACTACCTTTCAGAACTTTTCCCTGATCCAAAGTTTTGCAGTAGCCATCTGTCTGGTCTGTCAGTGTAATAAGTCTCCCCAGTTATTTTAAAACCCCAAAAAATTCAAGATGTAGCCTCACTGACGCAGATTTTATTCTGTGCACAAATTAAATAGACTGTGTGTGGAATTATGTAAGTGTAATAACATTACTTGAATGCCAGTAATTCTGTTCCTTTTTAAAAGATCAATGATTATGCTGTATTGAAACCTTTATTTGTGATTTATATTTTTTATACATAATACATTATAGAAAAAAATATTCAGCGATCGCCATTTCTGTTGAGAATCTATACATGTGTTGAGGGTAATGGCTGCCAAGAGCAGCTGTGTGGTTTGTGTAGTCTGCTTTGTATGTGAGAGTTGTCTGGATCAAAATAATTGGATGGCGGCGAGAGGGCGGGAGGGAGGAAGGAAGGAACAAGGAAAGGGGAGAGAATAATTTGTGGCCCCTGAGGAAATAGTTTGTTTGTGGTGATTTGAATGAACAGAAATTACATGGGGGGGGGGATTGATAGGAAGAAAGAATGTTTTTTGTTTTGGATATTTGCCATTTATTGTCATTTCCTTTTCTTTCAGACAAGCAGATTGGTAACTAATGGGGATGTTTTGGTTCCAACTGAATCATAAAAGCATTAACACTGTTCTGGGGCACGTGTTTTACAGTTTATCAGCATCCCCGAGGGCATTCCTTTTGATCTCCATTGTAGATTCTGTTTGAAATGAAGTGGAAGCTAAATGTAAACCATTGAAAGTGATCCCCAGGGGGTAGAAATGAGCAGTGATTTTGTGGATAGTCCCATTTGGGGATGGCCATGTCCTGGAAATTTGTGGTAAATGGCCTGTCCAAAAAGATAGTTACTGACAGGACAGTCGTGCTCAGCAGTCATAATGAATATATTCACAGAGAGAAATCTTGTTCTTGGAGGGGGTTCTGTGGTTAGAACAATAATAATAATCATAATATAACAATAAGCATAATAATCCTTGCATTTGATACAGTGTGGTTGGGTTGAAGGAGGTCCCAGAGATAGGCTGGGGCCAGACCGTGGAAGGGTTTAAAGGTGAAACCTAGATAAAGCAAGATCTTTATACATTAGAATACACAGCACAGAAACAGGCCATTCGGCCCAACTGGTCTATGCCAGTGTTTATGTTCCACATGAGCCTAGTATATATTATCTAGTATATGTATGTATGTGTATATATATATATAATATTATGTATATATAGTATATTTATCTAGTGTATATTATATGCATTGTGGTTCCTGAAAGTTTTATTCCCTTAGGATTTCATTTTTATGAAGTCTCTCTTCATAATCGAAACCTCCTCACCTTTGGTAATTGATAGGAAGAAAGAATGATAACATCCAAGTGAATCTACGCTGCATGTATTTTTCATTGTTCTTGTATCATTCTGAAAATGAGGCTGACTGTCAAAATCCACGCACTATATGGTTGTGGCTTCCCAGGTTTTTATAGAGGTATATCGCACGTAGATACAAACCAAATATTTTTTTGTAACTTTTTATTACCTTTTCTGTTGCCTTTACTTTTTGTTTACACACCGTGCCCCCTTCTCATCTACTCCATTTCAAATCTTACCATTTTAAGTTGCATTTCCTTTCCCTCTATTTAGTATGGAAAATGTCCCATTTCACATTTTTCAGCGTTGAACTGTTCCTACCATCAATCTGTGCAGCTTTCTTTTATAACTTCCCATTGCACACAGGGCGAACTTGGCGCTTGTTAACAGGCAAGTATTCATTTAAATTCAGCCATTGGTGGCACTGAAGAACATGGATGTTGGTGCTCGTTTTAAAACTTCCATAAATTTTATTAATGAACAATCAGGATCTTCCAGTAATTGTGTTAACCATTTCTGACTTGAGATCCTTTCCTCCTCCCCCTCTTCATGAAATTGGCACAGTGTTTTGTTTGTTAAGAAATTACACTCATTGAAATGACTTGCTACATATTGCCTGGAGTGTCAAGGATTTCTCTTTAGATTTCTAATATGCCATTGATTAACTAAGTGGCTGATGCTGTGCATTGATCAGGAGATGGGATAACAAGTGATGGATCAATGGTGAATTGTTCTAAGTGTTTAGTGATCACTGATTAACGTTGGTCAGGATTATGATTAGGCAAATAATTGTTTTTTTTCGGTATCAGCATGTTATATCTAGTGTGTGTGTTTATATCAGAATATCCATATGCCTGGAACTATTTCAATTAGAATGGAAAAAAATATATTTGTGTTTGGATAATTTGTTAGCTTCACTCCGTTGGTATCACTCATCACTGATTTAGAAAGTTGTGGGTTGACATCCCACCATGGGATTTTGAGCTTCCAATGCCAATGTGGAAGCAGCACTACAATTTTGGATGAAATATTAAGCTGAGGTCCCTTCTACCTGTTCAGGTGGACCGTAAAAAAGACCCGCAGCGAAATTCAAGGAGAGAAGGTAGTTTTTCTTGGTGTCTATTAAGTGTTCATTAAAACCATACACATTAGGCATGCATTTTTAAATTCAACACTTAAATATTCTGGTCCCGCACACTGTTAAGTTATTACGTAAAGTACCATTTGAGCCTTAGCAAGTGAGTTTGTGGACCAAAGTGCGACAACCAAATTGAACCCCATTGTGGTGTAAGTTGCTATTTTTATACATTTTTACTCCACTGTGACTTCTTCGAAGTACCAAGTAAATTTAAATACTGTGACTTCCTTCAAAGCCTTTCATTAAAACCCCAAATACTTAATCATCAAAGCCCTTCATTAAAAACGAATACTTAACAAAGTATATGTGGCACTTAAGTGAATGAACCTGGATACGATACAAGACTAGGCTGTAGCCATTCTTGAAAAGAATTCTGCCTTATGATGGACTTGGATCACAGATAAGATTATCTGATTGTTTGGACAGATGCCCCGATATTAATGAAGGCAAAAGTGATATTTTAAATATAGGGAAATTTATGGAGTGTAATGAAGTTCATCTGAAACCATGTTCTTTTGTTTGCCTTTGTTCTTCCTCTTCTGCAAAATAGATTCAATTTCGTGATTGTTTCCGATGCCTTAATTGCTTGCGTAACAGGAAGCCGGTGGGGGGAAGAAAGAAAATGAGAATATAAAAACAAGTATTATTACAACATGCATTCATGAATCAATGGTTAGGTTAATATAGGTAGAATATGATCTGCTTCTGCCCCCCACCACCCCCCAAGTCCTGTAGCATATTTGTTAGAGCACTCACCTCACAAGTGAAAGGCCCTGGGTTTGATTCCCGGGCAGGTCTAATACCTTAGCTAAGTTTCCTTACTCCACACGCCTCTTGTTTACCAAGCATTAAGTAGGAACCCGGTTGCTAGTCGATTGGTGGATCGCTTTCCAGGGGTAAGAACACCTTCAGAAAAAAGATTAATCCACAACTGTTTGTGGAACACTGTTGTGCGCAATTGGCTGATGCCTTTTTGGCCGCAAAATATACAGTCAATTCACTTTACAATATATTCTGTGAAGCGCTTTAAGATGTCCCAATGATGTGATAAGGTGCTATATCAAATGCAAGGATTATTATCATTCAAATTGATTTTTTTTTGTTTGTCTGTTCCAGATTAACGAACTGGTGGACGCTCGCGACCTTGTCATCGGAGCATGGTTTGAAGCTCACGTTGTGAATGTTACACGCAGCACAAAGGGACAGAAAAGTGTAACGCTGAAAAATGATGCTAACGGAAATGAAAGGACAGGAGCAAATGCTCAGTGTACTAAAGATCCCTCGGACCAAGAGCAGTCACAGCACTGTAGTGGGATCACATCAAATAATTCAGACTCTACACCTTCCACATCTAATGTGGCACCTACGAACAATGATATTGTATATCATATCAAGTATGACGAGTAAGTCTTGCTTCCCCCCCGCTTGAAGAGATTGCAGGTTTTTAAAAACCATTATGATGCTTTGTCCAACTCTGTACACTCACTAAGTCATGGATACAGTGACTAATTAGGCATTGCGCTTCAGACCAATACTTCCAGAAGTAATTATCTTCATCCTTCTGCAAGGAATAAACCAAACATCTGTCTTAGTAGCGAATGTGACTACAGTAGAGAGAACCTGATATCCATACCCATTGGGACTGGCCCCATTGTGGATATGGAAAGCTTCTGGTTATCAGGTCATCAAGTGAAATGCAATGCACGGTAAACTTCCTCCACCAGGAGTTAAGCTGTCATTATAGCACCATAGTGGGCCTGTCTCCATCTTGCCTGCCTGCAGCTCCTCCCTCCATCTCTCTTCTAACTTAATTTACTCCGAACTCCAGCTGCATCGAGATTGTCATCGAGCAGAATCTTGGTTATCTAGTGTGCAGCAATGAGTGTGAAGGGAGGTGGGGGGACCTCTTTGTTACTATTTTACTTGTGTCTCCATTTTGTTTGAAATTTAAAAGAACCTAGTTGTAATGTGGCTGAACCATTTCAATGCGTTTCTCAGAGGTGTAAGTGGGTGTTTCTCAGGCTGGCTGGGTGTAATTTGTGTGTGCCAAATATCTGGAGCACTGGAGCAAATTATTTTCCTTTGGATATTAACATTTTGAAAATCAAACAATTTCTAAGTTTGCTTATAATACCAATTAGGGGTAAAGCAAATTGAGAAGAGGGAATCATATAAGGATTATACTCTTAGGAAGACAAGAATTTGAAAAATCAGAACAATTTTTACTCGAACCAACAATTAGAGGGATCTACTTGAGGTCATCAAAATTCTGAAAGATTTTGAGAGGATCAAGTGAAAAGTTGTTTCTGCTGATTGGTAAATTGTTAAAAAGGAGGGCATCAGCTCAGCATTGTCACTGGGAGAATGAAGTGGAAATCTAGTGTTCAACTATTCACTCAGTGGGTTATTAGAACATAAAATGGTTTTCCACAAGTATTAAAGCTAACGCTGTAACATTTAAAAGGAAATTGGGCAAGAACATGTCAAGGAACTATATGAAAGTGAATTGGAATTTAGGAAATGGAAATTATTAGCACAAAGGAAATATTGTTGGAAAGGAAAATATATTTGTGCAAACAATTTTTATTCATCTCCCCTCCTATCTTGTGTTATACGCAGATACTGTATAATTTTAGAAAGTTTTGAGATCTGAATCTCTTGTGGGGTGGTCAGCCAGGGCACTGAATATGGCTGTGTGTCAGAGTTGGCCTGAGTGCATGAACATTCTGGAAAGCTCCACTAGCTCTGAATTGATAACCGAATAATAGTGTGGCCCCTAGAAAACGAATAGATATTGCATTTTTAATATGGTGTAATCTCACACCATTGAGCTGAGGCACCTGTTCACAACCCATTAGAGTATTTATAAGAATTGGGATGGATTAAATGTTCAAGTAACGTGACTCTCACTCTAGACCTTTATCTCCTATACCTCAACATCTGTTTGCATGATACCACTTTACAGAACAGAACCACAAAACATGCTTTCCAGTTTTGTTTAAACAGCTTTTTAAAAGCAAAGAATTTGGCAAACATTTTGCAATCTAAGAATAGTAATTGTGGACTATTGTACGCAGAAATAAGGCATTGTAGATCCTCCTTGTGCAGCAGTGTTTCTAAAGCTTATTTTTGTCCTTGCATGAAGTCTTAGAGCTAAACAATCATAATCGCTGTGTGAAAAATGATCAGGAAATTCAGCACAGACCAAGGAGAGAACTGAGATAGTAGTCTGTATCCCATCATATAGTCAAGCCACCCACTAAGCCATTATGAGCAGGAATCTTTTGTTTATTATTATTAATAATAATCCTTGTGATCCTTGCATTTGGAATAGCAGCTTTAGCATCGAGAGGACGTACCAAAGCACTTCACAGGATTTGCAACTCTATATTTTAGGCGAATACAGCAGCCAAATACGGCACAGATATCCCACAAAGAGCTTGAAATAAATGACCAATTGTATTTGGAAGATTGTTGGCCAGGACACAGGGAGAAACTCTCTTCACATTTTGTGGAATGCCATGGAATTTTTAAAGTGCACCTGAATAGACAAATGGTACTTCGGTTTTACATCTCATTTGAAGTACACCCCCAGCACTGCATTGGAGTTTCTGCTTTACACTATGTGATTTCAAGTCCCAACATGGGTCTTGAACCCACATTTTTTTTGACTCAGGTGAGAGAGTGCTCCCAACTGAGCCAGGCTGACATTCATTTGACAGTAGATGAGCATGTGGGTAACAGGAGCTTATTCCACTCACAAGAAAGATCTCTATAACTTTTTATCTTCTTTATGAATAGAATAAAATGTTCCCCTTTTTACTCCCTTAGGAATCTGGTATTTACATGTTGTTGTGAAAGTGCCATTGTATTAAATTGCAGTCTTAATAACCAACATTCAGATCATTATTGGAAGATATTAAAGGTCGCCCCTTTTGACTTTTTTTCTCACCATGTTTTTGGTAACCTTTCTCCGCTGAAGACTTACAGTGGTTTGGTGTATGCTTAACTGGCTAGAAACTGTTTGCAGTGGGTACAAATCCAGCAAATTTAAAGTAATGTTTGCAACAAAATTAAGAATGTTGTTTCAAATGAGGAGGTATGTTTCAGCAAAATTGGCTGCCATGTATGTGTCTAAGAAAGTCAGTGCCTTAAAAACAGCCAGAAGCTGGTTAGTTGCTTCCCACTGCTGCCAATTAGAGTTCTCTCCATTTCACAGTAATATCACATCGCTGTATCAGCCTAGCCTGGTTGGTAGAACTCTCGCCTCTTGATTCAGAAGATTGTGGGTTCAAGCTCTTGAAATGTATGGTCTAAGCTGAGTTTATTTCACTGTTGTGACCAACAATCCACAAATAAAACTGGTCATTCACTTCATGGCTGTTTGTGGGACATTGCTGTGTGCAAATTGGCTGCCACATTCGCCTACAAAATACACAGTCACTGGATTTTACAGTATATCCTGCGAAGCGCTTTGGGATGATGTCCTGCTGTGAAAGGCGCTGTACTAAATCATACTTTGGAGATTCAATCCTGCACTTGGAAATTATGCACTTAAAGATGCTCTGCTTCTTCCCCCATCGCCACCAAATTCTGTGCGTTTTGCCAATGACAAAATATGATCTGTACCTTTCCTGAGAACAACGCCTCTTTGGTCTTGTATTACGTTATCATTCTATCCTCCATTGCCGTGGCGTCAGAAATACAGTCAAAACGTGTCTTCATCAACCGCTTAGGAGACTGGGCCAAAGTGGCCTTTATATAAGGGTGGTCGCTGAGTATTCGTTGGTGTGTCAACCTCGCTGTTCCAGGGAGGTGGTTACCCGAACAGGTTTATATCTAGTTTTCAGGGGAGCTTCTTCTCTCGCACCCCCCCCCCCCCCCCCCACTCTATTAGGAATTGTACCACTGACCTAGTAATTAATAAAAGTAAATCATTGATTAAAAAAATTGGTAAATTAGTTTAAAAAAAGTTGGCAATTGCAGCTTGTGTATAAAGTTTTTAATATTTAATATGTGGGTGCTTACTTTCTGATATTTCTGCAAGTTTGTTTTGGTTGAAGCATATGTTTTTTGGTCCAGATTTTATTTAACTGTTTACGTTATGGTTATCTCAACAGTGAGATTTGTGCATCTGTGTTTTACATGATAAACACAGTACTGTCATACCCCTTTATGCTGAGGGTTTGTTTTTAGTGCGGTTGCAACACTGGAAGTGTATTACACTTATGATATATAACACAAAGCCTCAGAAGGCCTCCAGGTATGCCAGTAACTGCTGGATACTCTCATTGGAGAGTTTCCTGGTCTCCTGAGTGCGTACATTTAGTGTTGTGAGGTATGGAGGTGCTGACCATCAGCCATTTTTATAACTTGACCCGTTCTATCACGGGTTCTGATTTTCTAAACCCAAATCACTGCATCAGAATGGATACCAACTTGATAAACTGCGTAACCTGCTTCGTTGGCAGAGCGCATTCATTGTTATGTAGTTAAATCTATTTGGTGTACATAACATTCAAAATCATCACCAAAACAAGGAGATAGATATTGGCTTTGAGATTTTTTTTAAATGCACCAAGAGTTATAAGGACATGAAATGCTCCACCAAAAAAGGATCTGAAGCAGAATCAACAGTAAGTTTTAATAATAAATAAACCTTACATTTGGTGTAGTGCCTTTCACTTTGGGACGACGTCTCAAAACGTTTCACAGGATATATTGTCAAGTGGAGTGACTGTATTTTAAAGGGAATTAGACAAACTGTCTGAATAGGAATAAATGTAAAAGGATATGAGGGGTGGGGAAGCAGGGAATGGGATAAATGGGTAGAGAAACCAGCACAATGGACTAAATGTCTACTTCCTATGCTGAATGATTCTGCAACCAATGTGGTTTGCAGCATGCACTGTTAGAAATTACAATTCTTAAAACTGTTTTAGGGATGCAGCATGAAGATGAAGTCGGTCACAGACTGTTCCTGTGTTTTTGTCAACACAGAATTGCAAAGTAGGTCAGTAATCTAACAGCTGGGGGAAGAGGAGGAAGAAATAAGACGAGAATGTTTGTTTGTATGAGTCGCACATTATTTAATAAATGGGAATTCTGATTGCTGTGGTTTACAGGGGAATTAATTATCAGGGGATTACAAAGAATTAAATCCAACGATACAGCACAGAAATGGGCTATTCAGCCAAAATAACCCAGGCACATGAGGCTCCAACCTGCTTAATTCCCTCTACTCTCTTCTACCTCATGTATGTACGAAGCTTCCTCTTAAATACGCTAATGGTTTCCTCTTCAACCACAGTTTACTGCAGTGAGTTCCATGTCCTCACCACCCTCTGGGTAGAGATGGCCTCCTTGACTTCCTTTTATCTTATTTATGTCCCCCACACTTTGG